GCCTCATTCACTATATCCCAATTTAACAACCATGTCCCCACCCAATCTATATTCTCCTGATGAGATACTAGACCTGAGTCACCCACCGCCATATGATGCACCAGTCACAAAGACCCAACCCAGGATGATTACCCGATCTCGCGCGAAAAACACACAGTTAGAACACACAAGCGCGTTAATGTTTGATCCCACGATGCCACCCACAAATGAGAAATGGCACGGTCACCCTGGATGTTATCCATTAATTGCGCTGCCAAACCCAAACCCAGGCGAAGACTGAGACCAGCTATTATACGTATACAGGCCCTGGTCTGACTCTGAGAGATCCGATGTATTAAAATCTATCACTCCGCCGGATCAGGACGTAGAACAAACAGTCACGGACCTAGCAGATATGGTAAACTCGTACAGATTAAACGGGAAAGAAACGCAACAGGCTTTAAAATGTTTTTTGGGGATAAAGTGGGGAAGATACCGTGACACATTTGCACCTCTGGGGCCAGTCCAACAGGGAGCTCAACCAGTGCCTAAGACAGCAGCGGAAGTTATTGCAGAGTTGGAAAGGGCAGAAGGGTTTTTCGCTGCCCTCCGTAACCAGCATCGCTTTGTCGCAGATTGGACTAAAATCTCACAAGTTACACAAGGGCCCACTGAATCCATGGATATGTATGAAAATAGATTAACCACCATATTCAATTGCTACTCTGGCATTCCAGAAGCGGTGGCAGCGGATACTCCATATCAGCAACAGTTAAAAATGGCCCTACTTCAGGGAATGAGGGAAGAGGAGAAGAAAATGGTAAATAAATTGTGCATAGGACTAGCGACTAAGAGTGTACAGGAGGTAATGGAATATGCTAAACATGCAGAAAAGATTACGAGAAAGAAGCAGAGGGACAAAGCAAGCCAGATCATGGTAGCTGGAGACGGAACAGAAACATTCGTCTTACAGAAACAAGGGAGACAGGGAAGAAATGACAGGGGATATCAGAACAGACAGGCGCCGAGGGGCGGAAACACCCCTCAGCAAGATACGGACCGAAGGGAAGGTCGCTGTTACATTTGTCACGAAAAAGGGCATTTGGCCAACGACTGCAAAGAGAAGAGGAAGGGATACAAAGGGAAAAGCAAGTCTAGACCGAGAGACAGAGGAAGTGAGGATAGTGACAATGAAGAAGAAGAGAGACAGCACAAACCAACAAGAAAGCATGACTATTTGGCGAGTGGGCAGTGAGTGTAGAAGAAGAAGAAGAAGGACCCGTGGATTTGTTTATTACAGAAGACCCCGACAACTGGGGTAAAAGACCAGAAATCACAGTGTACATAAATGGCGAACCAATGCTGTTTCTTGTGGACTCAGGGGCTGAGAAAACAGTTATACGGGACGGGAATAATTTACAAAGGAGCAGAAATGTAATCAGAGTAATGGGAGCGAGCGGGGTTCCCACAAAATGTTTTATTAGCCAACCCCTAACCGTACAATTGGATGCTCAAGATGTGGGAATAGCTGTGAGTGTAGTGCTAGCACCACATTGTCCCCACAACTTGTTGGGAAGAGACTTGATGGGATGACTAGGACTGTCTGTGGGACCAGGCCAAAACAACACCCTGATAGTGACGCGACATAGATTCACGGGCCCAGGACTTTATGTATCTGAGGGCTGGCGAGATCCACATTACTGGTGGAGCCTCGACCTCCAGAACGGGGGCCCTGAACGAACCAATCTGGAACTACTAAAACTAGCAGATGAACTGACCACAGGACAGCCTGACCAGAGGGACCCAACCGAGCTACACGTCACATTACGATACAGTAGAACTCCAGGTCCAGACCCCGCTTACACAGAAGCAGTAATGAAAATCGGACCACAATGTCTGCGAATACCGCACCTCTATTTTTGCAAAAAAACTTCATTTTGCGATGTAAATGTGGCAACACAGGTTAATGCACTGATGGAACATCCAAAACAAAGGCACATATCGCTCACCAAGAACTCGCGTGAGGACTGGGCCGATCTGGGACCAGATCGGAGTACTCTAGTCAGTAGAATGGACTGGGAAGAGACCATTGACCCCAAAATTGAATATAGCCCCAGTACAGGGTGGAGCCGATACCAACTGAATTGGCGAACCACGGGAAACCCAGCCACTCACTTACACGACACTTGACAGGAGCAAACTGCGAGTTATGACTGTAGGGTATGCATGACTGAGGTAGATACACCCGAATTGAATGACATTCCACAAAAATTATGGAGCAAGGGACCTGCAGATGTAGGGTTGATGAAGGGAGCTGTGCTGGGAAAACTGAACATAGACCCCGTGTGAGACAATATCCACTCAAGCCTGACGCAGAAAAGGGAATAGAACCGACTATTAAATCACTACTGGAAGCAGGGATCATAGTTGAGGATCCCACGGTGTCATGTACTACTCCTATATTTCCAGTAAAGAAAGCTGCTCCGTCCACAGCAGGGAGAATGGTTCAAGATCTCCGTGCGGTGAACGAAGCAGTGCAACAGAGGGCACCAAATGTACCAAATCCTCACACTTTGTTGAATTCAGTAAATCCCGAAGCTAAATATTTCAGTGTGATTGACTTGGCCAATGCATTTTTCTCAATCCCATTGGAAAAAGAAAGATGTCAATGGTTTGGATTTGTCTATGGAAAAAAAACATATACCTTCACAAGACTGACACAAGGTTATTGTGAGTCACTGACTATATTTGCCCAAAATGTAGCGCGATTTATGTCTGATTTTAAACCCAAGTATGTTGATGATATATTGGTGACTAACAGCAACCAAGACAGGTGCAAAAAGGACACGCTCTTGTTGTTACATTATCTAGCAGACACAGGAAACAAAGTTAGCAAGCAGAAACTGCAGCTGTGGAAACAGGAAGTGAAGTATCTGGGCCATAATCTCACTCAAAATGGTCGCTCCGTCAGTGAAGGCAGGAAGGCAGCTATTTTGAGTGCACCAAAACCCAGAACTAAAAAACAGATGATGTCATTTCTTGGACTGTGCAATTACTGCAGGCTGTGGATACCAGACTACGCCTGCAGAACTAAGCCACTATTGGCCCTAATACATGACGAGCCAATGACCATGCAAGATGTGATTAAATGGACAACAGATACAGAAGCTGCTTTTTGTCATTTAAAAGAAGCCCTTGCCTCAGCACAGGTGTTGCATTTACCAAACTATCTAAAACCATTTACTCAAACTTGTGATGTACGAGGGGGGTGTATGACATCTGTACTGACGCAAGAACACGGAGGAAAACACAAACCAGTGGCCTTCTATTCCACAAAACTGGACCCAGTGGCACAGGCCATGCCTCCATGTGTACAAGCAGTGATAGCAGCCGCTATGGCAGTACAGAACTCAGCAGAGGTAGTACTATTTCATCCTTTGACACTCAAAGTACCACATGCAGTAGCACAACTACTCCTACAGACCAGCATGGCATTCCTGTCACCAGCAAGACATTTAATGTGTATGGCAACGTTGTTATCACAACCACATTTGACTATTGAACGGTGCAACATATTAAATCCCTCAACCCTATTACCAATAGCCTCAGATGGACAGCCACATGACTGTGCTGCAGTAGCCCAAGAAGATTTAAAACCAAGACCAGACTTACAGGACACACCTTTGACCAAGGGCACTACTATTTATATAGACGGCTCTGCAGCAAAGAATGAAAGAGGACAAAATTGTGTAGGATATGCGATTACGACTGGGACAGAAATACTCAAACAGGGAAAACTACCAAGTTCATATTCGGCTCAGTCTGCAGAGCTGACTGCACTGATCGAAGCGTGTAAATTATTTGAAGGAAAGTCAGTGACCATATGGACGGATAGCCAGTATGCCTTTGGGTCCGTGCATCAGTTCTGCAAACAGTGGAAACTTAGGGGATTCCAGACCTCGTCAGGCAAGCCAGTGACCCACAAAGACTTACTACAGAATCTACTCACAGCTGTGTTGCTACCCAAACGCGTAGCTGTTTGCAAATGTGCAGCGCACACAACAGGAACTGACACTATTTCAACAGGAAATAGGTTAGCAGACGAAGCAGCGAAACAAGCTGCCCACATACTGACAGCAGACGTTAACACAGAACCACACAACATACTAGCTGACTACCAAAGTAGAGCACCACATTCCGAGAAACAGACGTGGAAGAACAAGGGGTGTGAAATTAAGAATAACATCTACATTGGACCAGATGAAAAGCCTTGGCTTCCCCGCTCCCTTTTTAAATGGGCTGCAAAATTGACGCATGGGCCTTGCCATGTGTCAACAGGGGGAATGGTAGCCATAACTAACCAGTATTACAATACAATAGGATATAACACATATACAAAAATTTTTTGTAAACATTGTCTTGTCTGTATCAAAAACAATGCCCAGGGAGCAGCAAGGCCAACGCGCGGGGCGTTTCCACAACCGCCATACCCATTTCACACAATACACATGGACTACATTCAACTGTCAAAGACACAAGGAGTACAATACTGCTTGGTGATAGTGGATGCATACTCAAAATGGGTAGAAATATACCCCACAGCGAGTAATGACGCACTCACAGTGGCCAAAGCACTGTGCAAACATATAATCCCGTCTTTCGGAATTCCCCAACTAATACGTTCGGACAACGGAGCACACTTTGTTAATGAAGTTATCGACAAAATAAGTCAACATTTTGTTATAAATCTGAAGTATCACTGTGCCTACCACCCACAATCAGCTGGACTTGTTGAGAGAACGAATGGGGTCATAAAGAACAAACTGGCCAAAGCTACAAAAGAGACAAAACGACCCTGGCCACAATGCATTGATTTAGTAAAACTAACCATGCACATCCTCCCAGCAGAAGGAGGAACACTGACTCCTTTTGAAATACTGTATGGTCGACAATATACATTACCAGAATTAAAACTGACTGATAAGAATGACCCGGACGCAGACCCGGATCTAGTGAATTACATGAGAAAGACACTGGAAACCAGAGAAGTGAAGGATACCAATAAACTGCCTGTAGACACTGTTTCCTCACAGGATAAGACTGTAAAGCCCGGAGACCATGTTTTCATAAAGGTGATAAAGAGGAAGTCGTGGAACAGCCCGAGGTGGGAAGGACCGCACGTCGTCACTCTGTCCACACCCACGGCTGTGAAGGTGGAGGGCAGGACCACGTGGATTAACCTCTCCCACTGCAAACTGAGAGACATCACCACGCTCCTCGACACCAAAGGCGAGTAAGACATATCTTCCAGACCTCCCAGACTCAAGACTTTGGTTGTAAGCTGAGACATCAACGGTAAATTCACGTGAGTAAATCAGTGAACCCGCTACGATAAGATCGATCTGGGTTTTTATAGGCATTTGCCTTTGCCTGGCCACGCTGACCGTCTCGGAAGCAGGAGGATCAAAGTACACCTCCTATACCAGCTGCACAACTGCAGTATGTAACTGCTCTGGACTGATGACCAGAATCGGAACCAACACAGGATACTGCCTGCCTCCCGCAGGAGACTACTCTATCCAGATACCATGTAACCTGCTACAAAGTACAAGAGGTCGAAGAGCCACAGGTTGTACAAAGGATGATGTGTGGAGCATAGAATCATTTGACGAAAGAAATTACGGTAATGATAGTGCTAATACCATGGCCGCCACTGCAGTTGAGGGCTCAGTGTGGGTACTCTATAATGCAACCATCGACCATACTGGCCCACACCCGTATCGTTTCTGGTTTGTACGGCGTCAATCAGACAACAACAAATACCGTATTATTGTGGCCAGACACACTGCTGTAACTCAACCCTCCTCAACAGTCTTTGGTAAATCTGAAGGTTCTGTAATCATCAAAACTAATAAAGACATATGGTTTAGAACCCAAACTGGTACGACTGGAGACACAAACAATTGGCTGTTAATGGCAGAGCAGGCAGCAAATAGACACAATGGAGAATGTGTTGTGTGCATGGGACCCAGGCCATTGTTGAAAATGGTTCCAGCTCCCATCCCTGTCGCAAGTGTAGTCAAAGTAATGAATTCCACGATACTGCCTGCCTCTCTGAGTTTGTATGCGGAACTATTCCCTATAGTTCCCCCAAAAGCTAAGGCCCCGATTTTCTATAAGCGTGTGTCTGAGTTAAATTTCACCTGTGTGAAATTAACAGGGGCAGACAAGTCTCTTAACCTAGGAGAAGTTCCACCGACCCACTGTAGTGTTACTCTGACACCGAGACTCATGTTCAGCCCCGAATCTAGAGCTGACGTGTGGTGGTGGTGTGGAACTGCATCACTGTATGACGTAATGCCCCCCAATGCCACGGGAACATGTGCAGTCATAACGTTGTTGTTACCCGTTAGAATCTTTCCATTATCAGCAAATGACATATTGACTAACCAAAATTGGACTCCACCTCCCTATGGAAATCACGCGCATAAAAGAGCAATGTCATGGATTGGCAATGACCCCACCTACATCGACGCAATTGGCGTACCCAGAGGTAGGAGTGCCTAATGAATATAAATTGGTAGATGAGGTGGCATCAGGTTTTGAGAGCATATTCATTTGGATTACTCCAAATAAAAATGTTGATCGTATAAATTACATTCATTACAATGTACAGAAGTTAGGGAATTACACTGAGCAAGGCTTTGCTGCAGTACACGAACAACTATCTGCTACTTCATTATTTGCATTCCAGAACAGGATTGCTCTGGACATGCTTTTGGCCGAGAAGGGAGGGGTGTGCTCGCTCTTCCCTGATGGTCAATGCTGTACATTTATACCAAACAACACTCAAGCAGGAGGCAAATTAACTGAAATCCTTTAATAGACGTCTGAAGGAACAATCTGGCATAACTAACCCATGGGACGAATGGTTCAACTATTTTGGAAGATACAAGTATTTGATACTAGAACCTGACGATGACCTCCCGGACAATGACCCTGAACACAGATAAGAAACAGAAGTACCCTGAGTGTAACAAATGGTTGGAGCGTTTGTGAAAATATTCAGTTAAAACCATGACATGAGTGGGCGACTGAGTGTTCGAAGTATAAGCTGTAAATTTGAATAAACAGGGGGAAAATGTGGAAAAATGTATGTAATATAATTTCCTGCTTCAGTTATTATGGTAAAGTGTTGTTATTATTCAAATGTTTTACTGTTATAAAGGTGGTGTGCCAGAGGAAGTGTGGCTCAGAGACACAGGAAGTCGTGACGCGCACTCTCTGTCCACACACCCTTCACCTACTATGCTTACTAAAAAGAACCGGAAACTGGTTCTGCTAGAGCAAAAGTTCAATGCTTGCATGCACACTGTGGTGTGCAGCTTCACTCATGGAAATGTTTTAACTGACTGTTGTGACAATGTTGATCCGCCCCTTTTACGCATACTCAATAAAAGCTGTAGGACGGAAAGGGCGGGTGGGAGACTGCTCAACCAAGCAACAGTAGCGGCTTGGGTGTGAAGGCTCTCACACGTCAATCGCTTTTTTTGTTTTTTTTCTTTCTATGGCTTGTTAAGGCTCTTGTGCATCCTGTGTCAACATTTCAGACCTGTAAACACTTTGGAACCGATCCTGTAGGAGGCAGAGGTGACACTGTGGCCAGATCCAGGGAGGGAGAAGGGGGCATGTGGTGCTGTGAGCAGCAAACAGCCAGAGGAGCAGCCATGCTTACACAGAAGGACCGCAGATCTGAGAAGCTCACGCAGCTAACGCTTTTTGAGAGCTTGTTCAGTCATCAAACGGATAAATATGAAGCAGCTAGATGCCACGATGCTAGTTCTTCAGGTTTTAGTTAACATGAGACTCCAGGATCCTCGGAGCCTTCTCCCTCCTTCCTCGTCCAGCAGCAGCAGCAGTAGCAGCAGCGGCAGCAGCAGCAGCAGCGGCAGCAGCAGCAGCAGCGGCTCCTCCCCCCGTCGTAATGTGGTAAGTTTCTTTTCTCTTCAACATGTTGCATTTACGAGTTTATTTCTCCTCTTTGTCTAATGTACTATCAGCACCTCCAGGATTTTGCACGCAATTGTTGATTGATGAATGATTATTGCGGTTTCCCTGTTGAGTTCGGAGGCGTGTGAATCTGGCATGTACCATTAGCTGCCAGGGAGCTATGGATGATGTTACCGTGTGGTTTATAGAAGGGACAGGGGGAGGTGATCCATGGCAGACCGGTGAGCGGGACCCATGATGAGCAACAAGTGTTAGATTTACCGCACCATGTTGTGCATTCTGCTGTGGTGCGTCTCACTGTGGAGGGTGCGTCAGGAGCGCGACCCCACCCCCTGCTGCTTTGGAACAGGGGGAGAGCCACTGACTCTGCTGCTCTGATCCCGGAGTCTGCGTGATTTTGCGTTCAAACGTTGAGAGATTCTGGAGGGAGTGATAGCAATGGGCTTATACTATAGTAAAAATAAACAAAGTAGCGTTTTTAGCAAGTATTGAAGAGTTTTTGTTTTAAATCTCAATATCATAGCTGCTGAAGCCAAAACACTTGTTATAATGTGAAAATGTATGGTGATTTTATATTTTCCTTTGTGTTGTAGATTGTTGACCCCAGGACCCCAAAATGCTGCAGCAGAGCTTGATTTGGATCAGCAGCTGACTTCTGCAGCTCTTCATAACTGATGAACTGCTGGATCCTGGATCTTGTTGTCGAACAGACAAAGCTGTATGCAGCACAATATTTCAGTGCACACACACAGCGTCTCCCATTCAGCAGAGAAAATGCATGCACCCAATTACTATTCTTTATAAACTAAAGTAAAATTGTTTCACAAAGTGTTCAGAAAGTGTTATTTTTACTGTATATTTGTATACAAAGTGTTTTTATTGTATACAAGTTGAATATTTCTGAATCAGAATCAGAATCATTTTTATTGCCACGTAAGTAACAGGAGGTCACAGACTTGGAAATTGCTTTGGCTCAGTGCAACAGTCAGAAAGAGTTAATAAAAATAAGAATAAAAAACACTTCTAAAGAATACATTTAAATTATATAGAGTTACAGTTACTATTTACAATATCCAAGTGCACATGGTGCACACAATGTAAGGTGACAGCAGTACAGTGAAGTTTATGTGTACATAAGAAAATCCTTTGAGTGTATTGTGTGTACACGTTTAATTTGTTTAAAAATAATTATACATAAAAAATACAATTCAAAGTATTGTTTCTGTTTTGTGTCATAGTAAGAAACTGTCATACATTGTAAAATATCAGTAAAGACAAAAAAAACTCACTTTTCTGCTTGAAAATGCACGTTTCACAAAAAGGCTGTTTTCTCCAAATCTTGGTCAGGAAACAGCATTTTGTGTGAAAGTTACCTATGTTGCACTCTCAATTGCTAAAAAACTAAAAGGGTTAGAAACTTAATAAAAAAAAAAAAGAAAGCCAAGGGATATAGCTTTCATTTGATATGTTTCATACTTGTGTTAACCAAGGGCTCACATTTCTATGCGGTTCGGAACAACACTAAAAATGTCCAAAATCTCTGGCAGTATGAGGGATGCTGCTTTTTAAATGGCTGGAAGTGAATGAGTTAAAGCCCTCACTGAATAATCAAGGCTCCTGTGGAGTCACCACCTGCATTAGCATCAGTGAGGGGCTGGTGCTATGTGTAGCGGGTGCAGCTCTGACTACCACCCCCTGACCCAGAAATGGATTAAGGGGAAGAAAATGGATGGATGGATGGAATTACAATTTGAATATTATTTCATGACACCTTGAAGCAACTGTGGTTAATGTTCTAACTCATAATTATAACAATATGCACGAGGCAGTACTGTTCCACTGCATGTTTTGATTTTTGAAGGCCAAGATACTGGCACCGTGGCGATAGCTGATTGGAGGACCCCATTCCTCCATATTGTATAATATCACTTGCATGCAAGTGATATTATCTGTGTCTTTGTTCGTGCTGTCTATCATCGACAATAAAACATGTCTTCTGTCTGAAGTTAGCTATTTTTAGACGTTCGGAGAGAGGTTTTACTAAATCAAATGGTCCATTCTTGTTGTGTGGTCTGTTGTACGGCCCGCTGAGGAAAAGAACAGCGAAAAACAGCTGTGGTAAAGTGGTTGCCCTTTTATGCTGTTACCTACGGTAACAGCATACAAGGGCAACCAGCTACTGGGCGACAGTAGCTCAGTTGGTAGAGCATTGGTCTTAAGGCCAGAAGGTCGTGGGTTCAATTCCCACCTCTGCACCTTCTCCATCGACTGCTATGAGACTTGGGTGGCATCTCTGATTGCCACCCCCCTGACCCAGAAATGGATTAAAGGGTAGAAAATGGATGGATGGATGGACCTACGGTAAATGTAGAATGGGAAGCCGGGGGAAAAGGGGATAAAAATTCATCAATAAATGTAAGTTTTGCAACTAAAAGTTTTTTAAAAGTACTCGTCGCATCCATGTTTCAGTATGTGCCGCTCTGTCTTTTTGCCACCCAGCGAGGGGCGCATGCACACACGGGTGTAAACAAAGATCCTCCTATTGTGGGGTTGTAGCCAGTGAAGGTTTTCGTAAAGAGTGCAGTGATGTGTGTGATAGGGACATTTGAGGATGAATCTACAGAGACAGTTAAAAAGTGTATTTAGTGGTTTGAGATGGGAATGGAATGTGTTTTGGTAAGCGTAATCAATGATGGGGACACCAGTTGCGGTTTCTGACATTGAGGGTAAAACAGTGACATGATCAGAATAGGAGGCCCATTGTAGCCTAAGTTTGTTTTATTATGGAGTTGATGTGGTGCTTGAAGTTTAGCCTAAGGTCCAACCAGAGGCCGAGATATTTGATAGAGTCTGCTTTGTGCATCTTTGAACCGTTGCTAAAGTGAATCTGGAGATCAGGGGAGTGGAGTAATTTGTGAACCAAACCAGATGTTTTCATATTTAGAATTAATTTATTGTTTGAAAGCCAGTTTTGTATTGAGTTAAAATCGAGTTGCAACAGATTTTGGAGAGATCCAAGTTTGAATTGTAACTAACTGTGTCATCAGTGTAGAAATGTATGGAGCAATTGGAGATAACTTGTGGGAGATCATTAATAAAAATGGAAAAAACAAGGGGACCTAATGTGGCTACTAGTTGAAACATGTCAATAGTGTGGCAGTAGTTCTCATTAGAAAACAAGTACAGCACAAAAGCAACATGCAAAGTACACAAATCTTATTTGGCATTTGCGGACTAAACATGAAACGGAGCATACGGCGTTGTGTAAATCTACCAAAGGGAATATTCAGCTAAAAGTTTTATTACGGATATTTGGAGTTCAGAGGTCTGTCCCATGTCTTTCCTTGGCTTTACTGCACACTGGTGAGATCCTTCAACTAATGATTTAAAGTGTGCTGTATTGCACACTGTGTTGTGGCTATTTTGTTAAGAATACAGATACTGTTAAATTTCCAGGTATATTAGAATTTTTTTGGTATTTTGTGTCATAATTTAACTTTGTGTTATCGTTGATAATGGCACACTAGATGAAAAGAAAATTTCAAACTGGTACTCCATGTCACAAAGGTTGCTAACCCCTGGTCTATGCATTAGACCTGTCAGTTATTGCTAGGAGGAAGCAATAGTCTTTTGACCGTTGTTTTAGGACTGTTTGTTGAGGAAAGGATTTTAATATTTTTGATACCAATGGATGGATGGATGGATGGATGGGTTTTTAACCTTGTGCCAGGAATTATGGAATAAAGTTTGAAATTTGTATACCCACCACGATGACTGCAAGAGCCCTCTTTGCATCTACGACCAAACCACAACGCATCAGACTCTAACTCCTGGTAGCAAGTAGCTTCCTGTTAAGGCTTAAGAACAGGACACATTAAGAACAATGACAGTGACCTTTATTTAATGTCAGAAGAAAACATTTGTGGCTTGTGTATACCCTCTCTCTCTCTGGTCTCTCTCGAGTCTCTGACCCCAGTGTTTAGTTCAGAGGACTACTCGTAGCCCTCAGTCCTGCCCCTCAGTGTGGTGTCTTCTGCAGATGTATTTTACAGAGTTTGCACAGCTTACAGCTGCAGCAGCGCCCAGACCTACAACAAACAGGTTTTATATCTCCTCAATCAAACTTAATTAGTCGTGACTGGTTAGAAAAAGTGTATAAAGTGTGTGATAAGGGGTTTTACATCCTTCAGTTATTTTTAGAACAAAACTCTATGATAAACCAGGGACCACTGTATGCCAAAAAACATACCCACAATTTTAAAGTCCTCAGAGACGACTACTGATGTGATTTAGGGTTATACAAAAGAACATGGACTTGAAGTCTCAGCCATCTCAAACATCAAACTGATATTTATTTTGTGCAGAAGCTCCAGTCTTAGCCAGCAATGTATTGAGGTGTAATGTGCTGAATTATGAATAAGATGCTCAGAGAGAGCTACTGTACATCTGACACTGAGGTATTAATAAACCGGGACAAATGCAAAAGAGTGGACAGACCACAAAGGATTATGGTAGTCTGCAGCAAAGTGGACAGGCCCCAGAGTATCGTGGGAGTCTGCGGCAGAGTGGACAGGCCCCTGATCATGGCAGTCTGAGTCCGAATGGAAACAAACTCTATATCCTTGCGTGGAGTATTCAGTAACAATAAAACTTTTGAATAAATGCTCAGGTCTGTCTCTATAAGCAATGTAGATGGACGATGTACAACAATATTGACACATTGTCTATCACAGTCTGTCCCATATCCATAAGTTGGTCCCATGTCCCTCGCTGGCTGTCCCATGTCTCTTGCAGTCTGTCCCATGTCCATCTCATGTTCACAGTCTGTCTCCTTGACACAGCTCGTCCTGTGTCCATCAGTCTGTTCCATGTCCACCACACATCTGTCCCATGTTCCTCACTCCCTCTCCCATGTCCATCAGTCTGTCTCATGTCCCACACATCTGTTCCATGTCCCTCACAGTCTGCCCCATGTCCACCACAGTCTGTCTCATGTCCATCACAGTCTGTCTCATGTCCATCACAGCCTGTCTCATGTTCACAGTCTGTCCCATGCCCAGCAGTCATTTGAGATGTCAATGAAAAATGTAATTGTTCTAATTATAAAAGCGTCCCTAACGTCCGCATATTAGTCTGTATTCAGTGTTTGTTCTCCTCTCACATCTCCAGACGACAGACACTGCTGCTCCTCTCAATAAAATTTGAAAATCAATATCTCTGTACTGTCTGTCGTTGTAATGAGGGACACTCGGACAAATGTGTAAACGCTGTGATTGAGAGCTGTGCGCCACAATAACCATGGAGACCACGCCAAGGATGACTCAAGACGCATACACTGCATCGACCGAATACTGAAGCTTACATTATCAAGACACGCTGGAGCTCTTGTGCTCTACTACAGATTTCCCCAACCCTTTTTAGCCGTGGCTGGTGGCACACCACCAGCTGAAACTGATACAAACATGAAACTGCAGCCTTTAGTCACAAAGTCATTCTCATTGCAGTGTTTTATATAGAAAATAAACCAAGCGCAAATAATCTATCTTCACAATTTCCGTATCACATTATTTTTACCAGAAAGTGATATTGGATCTAGGGCTGGGCAATATGGCTGAAAACTATATCACAATATAAGTAATTCATACCGGTCGATAACGATATATATTGAATGTTTTTTATTTATTTTTTAAAACGTAAATAAATACATTTGTCGAGTCGGCTAACACATGTTAGCAGCCTTGTTTACAGTCACGGGGGAATGAGGCTGGAGCCAAATGTTCAAAAGCAGTTTCCCCCACTCTTGTCCTGGTTTAATCCTGGTTTAGTCCTGGTTTAACTCCTGTTTTGGCTGTTTTCGAGTGTCCCCGTGACGGCTCCGGAAAGTTAATCTCTTGCTTTGGCCGAATGCATTGAGTCTCTGTACCCACTGCCTCTCCCGCCGCACATGCTGTTCCTCGCACGGACGTGCATAACTATTGACACGGCAGTGAAACACGATCTTTAGATCCATGGCTATCATAATAGATCCATGATCCATGGACACTACTCATGATGCGGTTGTTGTTTTTGCATACAGAAAGTTTTGCGGTTTGTAGTTGGCTGTGATAGGTCGAGAAGTCTCTGCCTACATCCCCCAGAATGCTGCGCGCTTCTGACTCGGCTTTACTTCCTGTGTTTTGTTCCAGTTTTCTATCACCCAGCCCTAATTGGATCTGTGAAAGAAACAAATGAACGAAGGCAAGGCAAGTTTATTTGCATAGCACAATTCATACACAAGGCAACTCAAGGTGATGAACAAAATAATATAGCATTATAATAATAAATAATCACAGTACATTAAAAAAGAAAGATAAACAAAAAAAAATCCTTCAGTTGTATGCACAGCTAAACAGAGCTGTTTAAACCTGGCTTTAAACATTGTCAGAGAGGAGGCCTGTCTCACATCTTCAGGAAGATTGTTCCAGATTTTAGCAGCATGAATCTGAATTGCAGCCCCTCCATGTTTTTTTGGTTTTTGTGTTAGTTATTTTTAATTTGAGCAATCTTAGTATGAACATGTTACATACATACATATATACAGAATAATGATTTAAAGAATAAGAACATACATCAATCAGTATTGAGTGCTTGAAAGTGCTCAAAAAGGAGTAGGAAGAAGTTGGGACTTATAAACTCCTTATAATACCCCTTTCTCCATTCAGTGTATTGTGTGACAGTTGTTGGAGCTTCTATATGTTATGTGTAACATTGAAATATATAATGACAAGTTCTATAAATTTGAGTGTTTACAAATACAAGTATACAACAAAAGTTAATATCTTAATTATTAGTGATGGTCTCTGAGCTTTTACTTCTGTAGTTTACTATAAAATTTCAAGTTCTCATCTATATGTATTTCTTTCAGGTTAGCTTTATGATTGAAATGATCATCAGTGGCTAAATCACATTTTGGTACAAGAAGATCTTGATGTAGTTTAATCATTGGAATTAATTCAAATTGAACTTTCAGTTGTACCCTTGATCAGCATATTGTTTGTAAATTATATAATTTACAAACATATATGTAAACATATATGTATATATGTAAACAAGATATTGTATAATATCTTGAATACATAGATATTTGCACAGCTTTTTAAATCATCATTTAGACTATTCCATAGATCAACTCCACATTGTGTAATATAATTTTTTTTCAGTGTTGTCCTGGAAAAGTGTTTATTTAATTTTTATTTTGAGTATTCCTTAAATTATAGTTACCTTCTCTATTAGTGAACATGCACTGTATGTTTTCTGGCTGTTGTTGATGTTCTGTACAATAGTTGAAGTGTTTTAAAATATACCAAGTCAGTGAACTTTAGTATTTTGGATTTTAGAAAAAGCATGTTAGTGTGTTTACAGTAACCTGCTCTATAAATTATTCTCACAGCTTTTTTCTGTAATTTGAATAGTGGATCTGTGTTAGTTTTATATGTGTGTCCCCATTCTTAGGCACCATAACTCAAATAAGGCAGAATTAAAGATGAATACAATATATTAAGAGAATTTTGGTCCTGGAAATATCTGGATTTGCAGAGTATTGCAATGCTTTTAGCTATTTTCGATTATATATTTGTGATATGGGGTTTCAAACATAACTTATCATCAAGAGTCACTCCTAGAAATTTAAATTAGTTTACTCCTTCAATTTCAATATTATCGATTAATAATTTTGTGTCAGATTTTACATCTTTATTTCCAAAAATAATACATTTTGTTTTCTTAATGTTAAGTGACATTTCATTAATTTCAAACCATGTTTTCAATCGTTCCATTTCTGTAGTAACCAGCATTTTTAGTTGTTGTAGATTGTCTCTTGAGCATGTTATTGTAGTGTTGTCTGCAAATAGCACAAATTTTAATTTTGTTGAGATTAAACATAAGTCATTGATGTAAAGTAAGAACAATTTAGGTCCTAGTACATAGCCTTGAGGAACTCCGCATAGGATTGTCTTGTAATTTGATTTATGGTCTCCTATTTGTAGATATTGTTACCTATTAGTTAGATATGACTTGATCCAATTTAATGCAACACCTCTAAAACCCTTTTTTCTATTTGAAAACGTAATCAACGGTATTGAATGCTTTTTTTTAGATCGATCAATATCCCTATCACATATTTTTTCTTGTCTATGTCATTGGTTATGTTCTCTATTAGATCAACAAGAGCGAGTTCAGTGGATCTATTGTTTCTAAAGCCAAATTGGTTGATATGTAGTAGTTTGTATTTTTCAATGAGTGTCCATTCTACTTACAAAAAGTTTTTTCCAAAATTTTAGAGAGCTGCGGTAAGACAGGCCGGTAATTTGAAAAGTCATGCTTATCACCTGCTCTGACCTGCTCTGACCTGCTCTGACCCTCCACATTGTAGGGAATAACTTTAGCAGTTGTCATGCCGGATGGAAATTTCCCAGTGTGAATGATAAATTAAAGATATTTCCCCACTGTGGGACAAATAAAGGAATTATTATCTTATATGTTTTAAAGGTTTTGAGATTTCACCAATTACTTCTTTGCCTAGATCAGTGGTTCTCAAATTTTTTCACCAAGTACCCCCTCAGAATATACTTGTCTCTCTAAGTACCACCACAAATGACCCACAACACACAGTAGCGTAATAAGCCTGAGTATTCATCAAAAAGAAGGCAGAGGTTTGGTTCATAAGAAGCTTTTGTATATGCTGCTCCTTCTACATGGTACGTGTTGCAAGAAGACTGGAAATGATCAGATCTTATGAATGCTTTCAGATCCAGATTGAGAGCACTTGAGACATCCTCATTGAAACTATTTTTATAATCCGTAATTTTATGAATTTGTAAGTGACTGTTTTATCTGCTCTGGAGAGCAGCTTCAGTGACAGACTAATTCACCCTCGATGTGTGAAGGAGAGGTTTCGCAGGTCTTTCCTTCCTGCTGCTGTCAGACTGTACAACGAGAATGTGTAACAGGAACTGCTGAGTCTGCACAAGTGTTTCTGATAATTCACTAGTAACTTTGTCACTAGTCACTTTACCTGTTATCGGTACTACTACAGTACTACATATCTGATATTTACTGTTATCAGTACTACTGTATTATTTCATATCTGATAATTCTGCCTTTCACCGTCACTTTACCTGTTGATATCTTACTGTATTATTTATATCCATCTGATAATTCTCCCATTCAAGTCACTTTACCTGTAGATATTATTTCTCATGTTTATTCTGCTCATATTCATATCCTCATATTCTCCGCTGCTAATGTATAATATAGACATCTGTAAATACTCAACGCAATTATAGCCCAGAGTTTCTTATTTTATTTTATTTTATTTTATCTTAAATTTATTGTCTATTATCTTAAATAATAGACTTTGATGTGTGCAATCTGAGTGCTCTTATTTCCTTTCTCTGCTGTAATGTGCAACGATGACACTGAAATTTCTCCACTGTGAGACTAATAAAGGTTTATCTTATCTTATCTTATAATCTGTTTTATAACCTGTAATTGTATGTAATTTTTGTACAGGACTCCCTTGAAAAAGAGGTTTTCATTGACTGCCAGCCATTTTTGATGACTTCACTGATTTTTAAGACTCACAGAATATTGAGTGCTAAATATGAAACCAGAGTCTGAAAAACAGGACTGTCTACTTTCAGCAGCAAAAATAAGTTTGTTTTTAGCTTGTTTCGTTCACCTATGATCTCCAGTCGAAAAGAGGGGAGTGTGACAAAAAGCACCAGTCTTAGACAAAAAGCTGAGAAAATGAGGTGTTTGTGAAAACAGACGAACCTGCAGAAAAGGGACTAACAGTATTTAGTTTGACTTTACTATGTCCTCAAACATGTCCAGGATCTTACATGTTAGAAAACAGCACAGACACCCACATCCACAAAGCGTTGTTCAAATATTTCAAAATGTACTCGTCCAAAAAACGTAAACATTTACATATTGAAAGTAAAGCCCATGACAAACTATGGCAGAAAGAATGGCCAGTATTCATCCATTAGGTAGCTTGTTGTCCTATGGACAGACTCTCCCACCTCAGCTGTAGTTATCTG